GTGCGATGAGAAGCAATTTTTTTCTCGAGGTAAAAGGGCACTATAGAAAATTCAATACTCCCATTCTGAATTACAAAAAAAAAAAACATAAGATACATGTATGCCACCTTCTGATGAAAGGTTCTTCAATCTGTTCGGTAAGGTACCAAACCTTAATCATTCTTATCTTCTGTACCGCTGGGTATGCAGCTCATTGGGGTCATCACCGTGCTTCGGCCATACAGCGGTGACGCCACAAGACAAACATTGTGACGTATAGCACGAGTTGCTCAAGTAAGCCCCTTCTGCGCTGTCGGCTTGAAGGAATTGACCCTCAAAATTGATGACGCACGAAGTGCCACATGCCTTTGGCCGCTATGCATTCCAACATCGTGTGGCGGATCGTTTCTCTTTTTCTGCAGTTAGAGCAGTGGTCATTGGGAACGACGCCCTTATTTGACAGTCTTTGACCAGTAGGCAACGTGTCCATCCAGTGCAGCCAATAAAATTCTCTATTTCCGGTACGTGGTTGTTCCGCCATTTCAGCCACTTGCTGGGCCTCCATCTCAGTTTTTCTTTGTATGTAATCGAGCGACTGATTAACATTTCGTTAATGAGTGCGGGTGCAAGCTTCGCAAAGTAATCTTCGGCCGCGTCGCCGTCAACCGAACGCTTGAGGCCCTCTGCTGCTTTAAAAAAAGGCGTGTGGGTAATCTACTTGAGGGCCCCGGTATCTTTCCGACTTGAATGCGGCTCCAAGAGTTCCGGTCCAATATAGCAATAAGCTATGACCAGGGTAGTCATTGTCCTGAAATAATTTATGTACTCTTTCAGCTGCAAGTGCCTTTGTGAATTTCGAAACATCTGGCAGACGAAGTCCTTCACAACTTTTTAGGAGCTTCAGGAACTTCTGCTGAATTTTTGGTGCCTTCCCGTTCCATAAGAAGGCTCCCACAATGATGCAAGGCGGCTCGCAAAAAGTTCGGGAATGAGTGCATTGTGTCCGATATAAAAAGCATAGGGGCATGCTTTGGTTTTCACCAACGTCACTTTGGCATCAAGTGACAAGTTGAAGTCAGTGGCATACGTGAAGGCCTGCGTGACTCTATGTACGGCGTCCTCCCAATTTTTTGTCCATCTCCCCGTCTTGATAGTATACGCCGAGAACTTTTACGGCATCCACGTATTGGATACCGCCCTGCAAAGAGCCATGGAAGTCACCGAAATGAAGGGCTTTTCTTTTCCCCGCATTCAAGAAAGCACCGATAAACTGGAATACTCTTTAAACAGCTCCAAGAAAGCGCGGTAATTGGCTTGGTTTCGCACTAACACAGAGATGTCATACGCATAAGCAGTGATTCTAACTGACCCCAGACCTGTCTTCGGAAAGCCCTGAATATTAGGACACTTTGCCACTTTCTTAAGTAGAGGATCTTTGGAAAGAACAAAGAGCATCAGTGTGATTGGGCATCCCTGGCGAACACCTCTTTTTACTGGAAGGTTTGTTGTCTCCATGCCATTGATGATGAGTCGGCTGGTCATGCTGGTGTATATAACCTTTATACAGCGGACGTACTGCTCAGGCAAAGCAAACATTCTAAGTACGCAGTATAGGTAGTCATGTTTCAACCCTGTCGAAGGCCTTAGCTTGATCTAACGACACGAAAGCACCAGTAAGGTTTTTGGCGTTGGCATAGTAAAACAAATCTATTATCAGAGTAAGTGTTTGAAAAATTGTCCTACCAAGCACTGCACACGTTTGCGTGAGTGACACTATATCGGGCAAAAAAAGGTTTTAGCCTCAAACCAAAGATCCTAGCTACATGTTTGTAGTCAGTGTTAAGGAGGGTAATCGGTCTCCACGACCGTGGATCGTTAGGATCCATGCCCTCTATTGGAAGTAAGACTACACGGTCCTCACTGAAAGACCTCGGCTTTTGCCCATCAACAATGAGCCTGTTGACCAGGTCAGTAAGTGCGTCGCCTAGGACATCGAAGAAAGTTACATAAAACCCTATCAGTATTCAGTCTCGACCAGGAGCAGTGGTAGTGTTCATTTTCCTCAGGGCTTGCCAAACTTCATCTTTTGTCGCCTCAGTGCAGAGCATATCAGGCGCTTCAGGACAGAGCATGGCCAAGCCTTCACAAAAATTTGTGATTCTTTGATGTTGGTTGCTGTCTTTGGAGCGATAGTCTGCAGAGTAGAGCCTTTCAAAATGCGCCAGAAAGACCTCCACGATTGATTTGACATTTGTGACGATGCTCCCACACTTCGTTCGTGCTGCGCCGATAATACTGGTCTGGTTTTTCCTTACCCCTCCTCGCTGTGCGTATGCCAAGTTACCTAGTTCATTCGTAGGGAGGTGCAGTTCCTCTGTGCGTTTAGGAGCCCCAGACTTTGCCCTCCACATCAGGTCGTATTTAGCTTTTTTTGCCCCTATGTACTCTTGAATGGCGCCGGTTAGATTAACTGCACGCTGAACGATTTGAATACGCCTCAGTGTTTCATTAATCTGTGATGCTGGACGTGAATGGCGTATTTTATCTGCCTCCTGTGCAATCACACGCCATCTGGCCTTCAAGAGATCAAATGCTGTCGGCGTGATTTGCTGCGTGTCGTCCAAAGACGCATGCGTATTACAGGTCCATGCGTATTACAGGTACCGAATCTTCATCATTTACAATTGATGGATCTATTCGCCACAACTTCGAGCAATGCCTTCCAAGCTGGGCCTTCAAGATGAACAGTACTGGCATGTGGTCGCTGAGCTTGCGTTGTCAAGGTGCTAAAAAGTGACATCGCATGACTCTAAACTTGCAACGAGCTCGTCAGGGATAACGAATTTGTCAATCCTGCTTCTGAGACGAACTCTGAACGTGCGTGGCTCCAAAGGTGTTCCCGCGCCCCGCCGTGGTGGTCTAGTGGCTAGGGTACTCGGCTGCTGACCCGCAGGTCGCGGGTTCAAATCCCGGCTGCGGCAGCTGCATTTCCGATGGAGGCGGAAATGTTGTAGGCCCGTGTGCTCAGATTTGGGTGCACGAGAACCCCAAACCCCAGGTGGTCAAAACTTCCGGAGCCCTCCACTACGGTGTCTCTCATAATCATATGGTGGTTTTGGGACGTTAAACCCCACATATCAATCAAAGGTGTTCCCGTGAAGCGTTGTTCATGCATCCACCAGATTTAACTCTCTACATATTTTATGCAGCTCTTTCGAATGAAATGTCCTTCGTCCTTGACTAGGACCTCGGACATCTCAAATTGAATAAAAAAGGCAGTTGAAATCACCTAACAACACACATGGTGCTGAATTTAGCAGGAAGGACCTCGCCCTCTAAAAATTCATTAACAGGAGACCTATTCATGCGTGCGTAAAGGTGGTGTGAATTGGACTTTCTGGTCGTTTATCCACATGTCCATCGCGATAACATGGCCTTCTGCCTCGAATAGGCAATGCGCACGCCACCTGAACCTCGGATTTAGAAACACGACACCGGTGTCACGTGACTTCATCTGCGTTAAAGAGAAGAAAGCTTCAGCCGAAAATCTAGTACGGAAAGCCATGACGTCGTGCCGCGTTCGAAAGTTGGTCTTTTCCAGAAAAAGCACGTCCACCCCGAGCGAGCACGCAAGGTTCAGTGTCTCTTGTCCGACAAAATCCGCGAATTCACAGACATTGAAAGTCATGTAAGATAGCCTATCTATTTAAAATGAATTTAGGGAAAAAAGAAGCTACCATTTTTTCTATAAAAGCAATGAGCCAAGGGACGCCATAGCCTCTCCTGTGTCAAGTGGCATTGGATGAAGTGAACGCGATGATACTCGAAGGACTGGCGCTGCGAATAACTCACGCGCACAGATAGAACAGACACAGTAAGCAACACCAATAACAACAGCAATAGTACACGCAGCATTCAACGTAACTCGCATGATGCAATTACTATAACAGGGCATAGCCACCACATCAGAGAACTAACGAATTGGCGCATGAAGGTACCATCGTGAATGACATCAACACATGGAATACTAGATAGTTTGCGTGCATCAGACACAACAAACGCATAGTGGTTGTACGGCTCGGAAGCAAGCATTTCAACGGTAGTGGCAACAGGAAAGGGAAATATTGAATGTGGGCTGCACAAATTAAAAAAAGAACATTGAGTCCTCACCCGCATCAGGTGATGGATCTCGGTCTGGCAAATCCACTCTGGGCTTTTTGGACGTTCCGGAGGTGGTGACGTCACTTCCACTGCTTGAACGATGAGAATTGAAGCGACGCTGAGAGTTTGTGGCTCTAGACAACGTCTTGAGAGAACACGTATTTTCAGGAGACAAAGTTATCAATTGAGCAGCTTGCGAAAAAAATTCCTTCCTTAATTTTCATAATGGTGACCGGCTCCTACAATGACTTGATGTCTTGTCGGATGCTTCTCCTTGGGTCTGTACAGCGTGTGTGCGAGGAGTTTTATGTTTTCTTGAAGACGCGGTCTTTACTTCTCTTGTGGGTGCTGTCTTCACGCTACCTTCCCGGCGCGCAGGTGGCCGTTCATCGAACTCGTCACTTGCACTCGTTCGTCCGGGAGGTCGGATAGTGGTGAGCAATTTTCCCGGTTGGCCAGTGCCCCGAAATGCTTGGGACGCTTCCTCCAGTGGTGATGCGTTAGAGTATTGTCCATTTTCTGTGGCCTTGAGATCCTCTGATGAAAACTTAGCAAGCGCACTTGGCGTCTCTGCAGCGTTGCTGCGCTCCTTTGGCGTTGTAGTGCGAGATGACAACGTTGCGGTGTCCCTAGTCTGCGCATAAACGTCATTGTCAATCGTTGTGCATGGCGACGTGGCATCAACGCCGCTGGCGTCTTCTGACTTGGCGTCATGAAATTCTGTGTCAGTTGCGCAATCGTCATCCCAATAATATTGCTACGATACTGAGGATGCGCGTGGAAGAAGAGGAGAACGAGGTTGGCACGAGCAGTTGCACAACCACATCTAAAGGGGTGCAGAAGAAAAATGATTTAAAATGATTTCAATCACACTCACAATCCTCATGCCAGGCCAAAATCACAACCCGAAAACCCATACAACCGATGCACACTAAGTTGGCTTGCAAACGTGGCTCGCCCAGTCCCAGCAAAGACTGACTGTACGTCGAATGATGAAAGGAATGAAACACAATGTGCCAAAGTACTGTTCCATGCTACGTGTAGAGAAATGAAGATTGATGACACAATTACAGGCCAAGAGGGCCAGGCCTCAGTCAACACCGGACCTTTAGACTAGAATGCTTCAACACATTGTTGCCGCCTCACCGCTATCCTCATTGGTGCCCTTTGGTGCAGTCAGTGCATGGGTCGACAGATGCGGAGGCTGAAGAGGCAAGACAGCAACGGTGCACTAAGACATCCCGCCAACTTTGTTGTTCCGGGACCTCGAAATGAAAAGCTGCAACATTGTTGCTTTGCAACCGCGCAACTACCACCACACACAGTCACACGATGAGACCGTGGAGGATCCCTCCAAGCCTCAAACTGCAGCGGAAGCTGTTGCCATGGTGCTTCCTTCCAACCGCCCATTCCTTGAGCAGCTCCCAATGTGAAGGCAAAAGCTTCAACTGCAGTCCAAGAATACACAAAAATGAGTCCCTGCCCCCCCAATCACAAGCCCCCACCTGACATCTCCCTTTTCCCCATCACCTCTCGAAGACAGTGGGACACCGTGGCCCCCACAAAACACGGGGGACACGCTCAAAGTTTGCAGAGGCAGAACAGCAGCGGGATGAAGGCTCCGATGGCCACAAAGATGGGCAGGAGGGCGCTGCTGTCGTCTCCCGTGTACGGGTTTGGACTACGAGGCCCCGAGGGCCTGCGCGGCTGGTGCTGGGATCCGGGAGAGGAGTCGCCAGAAGCGTGCCTTGTGGGAATTTCCTCCTCCTCTTCATCCTCTTCTTCTTCAATCTCTTCCAATGGGGGAAGCTCGGGCACGTCGTCAAACGTCCCCCTCATCACGTAAATGGCGTTGATTTTCGGGTTATCCCGGTAGCCCTTGATAAATTCGACCTTAATCTTTCCGTCGTGGGTGGACTCTTCATCGTTGATTCGCAGCTTGTTGCCTTTGATGCTGAAGGCAATATACTCGTCATGAGCGACTCCTCGCCCTACCCTGGCATGGATGTCCAAGTCGGCAACCACTGTGTGCTGGCCATTCAAGACTACGTCGAAGACCTTTCGGCCCGGCGAATCGAAGTACACTTCGCAGAACTTCAGCACGAGGACGTAGTCGCCGTCCTTGTTGACGGGGATGTCATAGCCGAAAGTGGCCGTGTGATAACGCTCAGTCTGGTACAGGATGTGGTCCTGCCTGGGAGCCCTACCGATGACTAGAAGCTTGCCGGAATCGGAGGCAGTGCCAACTTTTCCGAAGAGAGGGTCGCGCTTGTAGCGGATGCCGTGGACGTCCACATGTTCCTCGCCGCCGGCGTTGATCGCGTAGATGACTTCGCCGAGACCAAGTGCGGGATCGCACAAACGGAGCAGAACGAAGATGGGGAGAAAAAGGGATGCTACTACGAGGCGCCGCATATCTTCTTCCGAAGACGACGAAGCGTAACCTACGATGATAGATGCCGGCCGGAGTTTTTTTTCGCGGTGTAAAAACTTAGCGCGCGAAAGTTGAGGAAATGAGGAGACAGCGTTCGTCCAGGGACGACTTTCTACACCTTTCACGCATCAGCTAGTCGGTGCATCCTACGCGCGATAAGAGTTCAGCGACGAACACATAGCGTCCACGGGCAAACCGTGGACGCTATGTACCGTAACAATATAACATCGTACCGGAACATCGTACCGTAACAATATAAAATCTTCTGTTGCCGTGGCTTGGTTACGCGTTGCAAAACTTATATGTGCGTGGAGGTGTCAACTTCGGTCATTCTCTTCAAAGCAGACTCTCTAAGTTCTGGGAATTCTTTCAGTGACTGTGAAGTGCGCTGCGCCTGCTTATGACTCGGGACGGAAGCAATCTTTCGTTGCGTGGTCCCCATTACAGCGCTTACACTTGGACAGACAATCCTATGACGTATGGCCGAAGGGGCCACATCGTTTACAGAAGGGTGTTGTGCAAGTAGTCCCAACATGACTTTATCTGCTGGAGCGTGCGCACACTCTGCGCATACCACAATACATGAGCATCACGCGGTGACCTTGAATGGATAGGAAGTTAGAGGCGGGCTTGGCCATCTCGATTCGGACGATGCGGGTACTAGTGTACGTTGATTGATGCCTTTACAGGGTAACAAATGTGATACCCTTCACTTTTTCGTATGGCTGAAGAGCTGAAACAACTGCGTCATTTGACACGTACGGCGGGAGACGGAGCACACTGACTTGCACACTTGGCGCTCGACTGCTTCAACTGGTACCATGTGACCTTGTAACTTGAAACCTTGATTTACCATCAACTTGGTTGCTTGTGCAGCTGACCGAGCCACAACTAGGAACTTCGAAGCTCCAAGGTGTTGCAGGAACAGCACCCCTTCACTCCCCATGACGTCTACGAGGCAATAGATGATCTCGTTGACGGACGCCGTCCGCTCCGCGACGGTGAAGTTGAAGCAGTGCTCCTTGAGGGAGAGCGCCGCAGGCCTTTACGCCATCCTCGCTAGTCCTGGCAGGGTCCGACGACGATGAAATCAGGCCTCAAAGTAGCTGGCTCGCAAAGTCGCGAGTGGACACCCGGCAGCGACGCCGCCGGAACGCTGGCCGCGTTGATGACTGGAATGCCGAAAGGAGCACAACACTAAACGACGGAGCGTTTCCCTCGAGCACCTAACGAGTGTAAACGGGAAACTTTTTCGTGTCACATAGTGCTCCAAATGCGTCTTAGTGTTACTAGTTTTTCTGAGTAAGCCTCCAAACTGAGGTAAAGTACTTCTTTAATATACGTGTCTTTTTATGTGTTCTTTTAGTAACTGGATTTTTAACTGTGTTTTTAATATAACAACTGTATTTTAATAAGAAACTAATGTGGAATTTGCGCTAACATATCCAAGCACTAAATCTTTAAGTGGACACTATCAAAAAAAGAGCATGTTTCCGCCATCTTGGCAGTGGCAAAAGATGGCTTCACTTCTGCTGGCAAGGCATTGCAGGAGCTTCCACTGCAGCATTTTTTTTTCAATCCTCCTTGGTCCGCAGTAGGAGTGCCAGGTGGCGCTGAAGAGTGCACACGCGTTCACATCAAAACCCGAGTGAGCTCTGTGGCGGACGCAGACGAAGATTTCCTTGCACCTGACGAGGTGCTACTAGGGGAGCCGACTAGCGACGCCGATAGTGAGGAAAAAGACTCTACGTAGAAACACGACGACGACGCCAAGAATGGCCACTGGCAAATAGCAATAGAGAGTTTTAGTACTGTGTACGCTGCGTACGTGGCGGCGTTGCGTACGTAAGGACGCCACGTTTTGCGTAGTGCGCATGCGCAGACCGCAACGCGCACGTATCGCATTACGTACGCAGCTGCTACGTACGCACGCATGATATGCGTGCGTGCGTACGTATGAGGTGATCGCGCCGCTCTCGAACAAATTCGCGACAGCGCGAGACTTCGTTTTGCAAAATGGCGGGCATCGAAGGCAAGCACCGACCGGCTAAGTGGCTCAAAATATGGCCATAATGTGGCTATAACACCTGGATTGGCTCACATTGGCTGTCAACAACACGTACTTCTATTTTGATCTACCAGATGGCGCAACCCGCTTCACGCTCGTTACGTACGCGGGTACTACGGCGTACTAAAAGCCGATTAGTGGCAAACGACGCCACGTAACGCAAGGCACTTGCGTGATGCGTACGTAGCACCATTCCGCAGTACTAAAACTTTCTAATGTCATTGCGGCAGCGAAAACGCATTAGAAAACAAAAACGCGCCGCCCGTGATGACAGCGTTGCTCGAGGCGTAACTGAAAGCAGCAGCTGCGGCGCCAGAACGCTCAAAGAAAAGCGACAGGAAGAGCATCTGAAATGAGCCGACGATGAATGCACGTGGTGCCTATGCTCAAAAAACGATCTGAAGGTTATCATGCGGCCCAGACCAAGGGTTAGTTGTGAAGGAACTGAAAGCATACCAGGTCGCGTGAGCAATAGAACATGCAAGCGGTGACCCGGCGGCCTGTAACAGCCACCAATTTTTGCTTCGCCTTCGCACAGGATCAAACGTAATCATTGAGAGCACTCCCTACGAAGATGTAGCGGAAAAGATCTTCAAAATAAAGCCACTGGAGCTCACTGCCACCAACTATCTCTTGAACACCTACATATCCACTCCTGCAGGATACTTGAAAGGAGTTGTACACGGATAAGAACGCGAAACTTCAGAGGATGAACTTCTGAGTCATCTCCGAGTGCTCACTTAAGGAGTCACAATTGTTCAAGCCCGCATGCTCGGACAGTCACAAACTGCAGTGATCACAATCGATGGACCAATACTGCCGCGCTTCGTGTATTATTGGGGTGGCTAGAGGCTGTGCGAGCCTTATCAACCTACACGGCAGTACTGTAAACTCTGCAAGAGCCAGGGACATAGGACGGATGTTTGCCCCTCACCAATGACAAAGGCGTGAAGCAACTACCAGATAAGAGACCCACCTGAGGACCGCACCTAAGATCCGGAATGTGCTCTGCGTGGCAGACGCCACCCAACGGCGGCATCGGAGTGCACCAAAAAATGGTAGCATATCCATGGAGTGAATGATAGAGAGTGGGGCGAGGCATTCGTCCGTCCGTTCGTTCTTGCTTCCGCCCGTCCATGTGTCCGTCTGTGTGACCGTCCATGCGTCCATTCACCCGTTCGTGCGTGCATCTGTTCGTGCGTCTGTCCCTGCGTTCATCCATGCATCCGCCCCTGCGTCCGTTCAAGCGTCCATCCTTGCATCTGTCTGTGTGTCCTTTCGTCTATCTAGTCAACACTCCAAGTACCACTATCTCGCATCTTTTCTCATATATTCCCCATATAGAAGCACCGCCGTCCAGCGGACATTCCAAGGACTAAACGAGAAGTGGCACACACACACTTTTTTACGGCTCGCGCTTCGGGTCTACTTCCCACCTTTAACCACCTCGAGTTCATGATATATAAAAGTTCATTGTATTCATGGCACTGCAGCTCAACGCTCGCTAAACTTTTCTAAAGCTAAGGAGGTTACACCCAGCGAGTATAACGTAGCAACCCTTTTTTGTCAGATAGTGCTCAATGTACATGTCAATGGCTGCTAATGGGGATCACAGCGTGCAGGTTAACTAAAAGCCGAATGCTCCTGTCTCTCATTCCCCCTTAGCAGCCATTGGCATGTACATTGAGCACTATTTTTTATTGTTCAACAACGCACAGAAGAAATCTCTCACCGGCACCACCTTGGAGGTCAAAATGTTATACTTGTTACACACTACAACAGCTACGAGGGATGAACGGGTGCCTCTATAAGAAGTTTCGCCCATAAAAACTCAAACGCGTCTCTCAAAGGGGCCGGTCCCTGCTGTCGCAAAAACTTAGCACACCTCAAACCACTGACATACTCAATAACGCTGGTTCAGCACGGACCGCGAGGACTCGGCACCGCCAGGTGGGGCCCGTTCCATTTCCCGATCCAGGTCTCGGTCTACATCCCGATCCAAGTCCGGCTCTCGAGACGGCTCCAACTCCAGGAGTGGTGACCACAAGCAGGCCCAAGCAAAGCAACAACAGCTCAAGGCCAAGAAGGCGCAGAAAAAGCAAAATGGCAGCATATCCACGAAGTGAATGATGGAGAGTGGGTCGAAGCATGTGTCCGTCCATACGTCCATCTGTGTGACCGTCCCTGCGTCCATTCGCTCATCCGCGCGTGCATTTGTTCGTGCGTCCGCACGACCATCTCTGCGTCCGTCCCTGCGTTCGTCCATGCATCCACCCCTGCGTCCGTCTATGCGTCCATTCGTCGGTGCAGCCAGCCATCCGTGAGTGCGTCCATGCATCTGTCTGGGTGTCCGTTTGTCCATCTATTCAACACTCCAAGTACCACCATCTCGCATCTTTTCATTATATATTCCGCATATGCACCGCCATCCCACGGACATTCCAAGGACTAAACGAGAGGTGGCACACGCACACTTTTTTACGGCTTGCGCTTCGTGTCTACTTCCCACCTTACACCACCTAGAGTTCATGGTTTATACTAGTTCACTGTATTCATGGCACTGCGGCCCAACGCTCGCTAAACCTTTCTAAAACCGAGAAGGTAATGCCCAGCGATTATAACGTAGCAACCTTTTCGTGTTAGATAGTGCTCAATGTACATGCCAGTGGCTGCTAAGGAGGAATGAAAGACAGGAGAATGCGGCTTCAATTTAACGCGCACGCTGCGAACTTTTTATTGTTAAACAACGCACAGAAAAAATCTCTCACCGGCACCACCTTGGAGGTCAAAACGTAAGGTTGGTTACACACTACGACTACTACTACGACTACGAGGGACGAAGGGGTGCCGCTATAAGGAGCTTCGCCCCTAAAAGCAAGGAACCAGGTTAGACGGTCAGTGAAATCTCCCCTAAACTCACACCAAACAACAGAACTCACGCGCTCAGAACGCAAATTAAAGATAATGCGGGTGGGAATAGAAGACCTAGAACGCGAAAATAGACAACTAAAAAAGCAGCACTCGCAAGAAAACTCGACACCAACCCAGAGTGGC